CATATAACACATCACCCCTCCACATGTGTGCTCAAGGGGCTCAATGATAATTTTTTCCCTCTAAAGGTCAAAAAACAGGCAACTCATGTAGCAGGGTCAACCTCATTAGCCGTTACCTAATTCTTAGCGTTCTCCTTGCCTAACGATTTAATCACTTCACAGGCTGAGAAACTAATGTCTATGAAATAAGAGCCTCCAGGACTTGTTTTCATTACCCCAGGCTTTTCTGAAAAGGAGTTTGTGCTTGGGATAGGAAGCAGAATGGCTATCTTGCTGTAAGAGAGGCCAAACTTGCAGAAGTGGGTTCTGGCTAAGGAATGTGGACACACTGCAGACATCTTGCACAGAGGCCAACTCTTGCAATGATGTGGTCAGACGTGGGAGAGCCCAGCTGTCTGCTCCATTGAGAGAGGCTTTAGCGAGCCCACACAATCTCTCCATGCTGTGCCTCACTGGATCCAAGTATGAAGCCTGCTGAAGCTCCCCCCCCCCCCCCCCCCCCGTGATTGGAGTTTGGCTATTGGAGATAAAAGAGAAGTTACAGATAAAGACTTAGCTTTTTTTTTTTTTAAATGTAACATACAGTGGTAAAATGGAATATAAATATATTTTCTCTTTTCCCTTATGGACTATTAGAACATAGGTAAAAAACTACTCATGCTTTATCTTTGGTCTATTGATGGACATTTCGTGAATTTTGTTTCTAATGTCACCATGACTACTATTGGGTGAAATACCATATTGTCTCCTAAATGCAGCAGTCCCCAACCTTTTTGGCACCAGGGACCAGTTTCATGGAATACAATTTTTGGGTGGAACTCAGGGGTGGGTAGGTTAGGTGGGGGTGTGGGGTGGGAGGCAGAGCTCAGGTGGTGATGCAGGTGATGGGGAGTGGCTGTAAATACAGGTGAAGTTTTGCTCACCCCACCATGCTCACCTTCTGCTGTACGACCTGGTTCCTAACAGGCCACTGACAGCACCAGTCTGCGGCTCAGGGGTTGGGGACCACAGCGTAAATGCAACTTTAATTTAACATAGGGGTTAAGAGAGTGTACTCTAGAGTCAGGATTTCTGAGTTCAAATCTCCATTAGGTACTTCCAAGCTGTGGGACCTTGGCTAGTTTGTTTAAGCTTCCTAAGCCATAGTTTCCTTAGTGTTAAAGATAATAATGATATCTCAAAGAGTTGCTATGAGGTTGAAATAAAGTAATGTATCTTTAGCACTTAGCAGAAGATTCTTTTCCCTTTGGATTTTAATTTACTTTGTCAGATGCTACTGCTACCTGCACAGAGCTTTAAGTCTGACTCTTTTTGGGGGAGGGATTGGTTCTAATGGCTGATGAAATGAAAAGGAAGAGAGAGGTGTGAATGCTATACTTTCATTGACATAAAGGTGTAACTTCGTTAAGGAGTTTTCTTCTTTGTACATGTTTTTTTTTTTTTTTGTACTAAAACCTTAGAATAAAATCTCGTATGATGGAAATAATCCAGCATGTCTCTTTGAGACTTTATGTGTTTTAGTGCTTTCCAAATTAAATAAGACATTCATTTATTTCCAGAATTAGAGCTGGGTTTTTTTTTGTGTGTGTAAGTAGAACAAATGCCACCCAGCTTGTCTGAAAAAGTTCTGTTAGTGTGCAATTCTCAAGACCAAAGTCAGCAGACGGGACATCTCACATCTTTCTAATACTTTGCATTGAACAACACAACATAGTAGTATTGAGAATGATTTAAGAACGATGGCAGCGCAATGAAAGCAATCGTTGTTTGAGGATATTAGTTGAAACAGTTGAAATTAAATAATATATTACTTGTAAATGATAAAGTTTTAAAACTCAGGAAAAGCCAGAGGATGCAAACAAGATAAATCACAATCCAAAATTATATAGAACATTAAGAAATGCAGTGAAATGGAAATGTGTTGCACTAATGAAAGGGAACTAACTGTGAATGAATGAAACCATTCCTTTTGTTTCATTCTAATGAAACAAGAAGTATCCTGTTTAAAAGTAAAGTTGTTGCTTCAAATAAAAGATGATGATTAAAGTAAAAGAACATATATTTTAAAAATGAACAATTGTGGATGAGCTTTAGATGAGAAAGCAAAAGAACTCCCTCAGCTTTCCCAGATCCTCATCTCTTAAGGCAACTAGTTTAAACATTTCTGTTTTTAAGTCTTCTTGTATTTATTTCCATAACCCCATTTCCTATGTTTGTACCTTTATGTCTAGATTTAAACATTGGTCCCTTGCTGTGAAAGGTGGGGACTTGTCTTACTTAGCTATTACCTTTTTCTCTCTTCTTCCCAGTTTTTTTTTTTTAATAATTGTAGTATGACTTTTATTTGTTGGTTATTTTAAACACTGTGTAATATATTCAAGAAATCCTTGTTTATTGGATCAACTGCTTTAGTGCCCTCTACACCTTTCCTCCCAACTTGTTTCCCGATTTACGCCATCTATACCATCGCATTTATACTTTGAAGGTTTAAAACATTTATGTTTTGTTTTTTTACCCCATGAGAAATTGTTAAAATCTTCCATGTTTTGGCTGTAGGTTGATTATAAACATCGAAAAACAATAAAGAATGTTTATATTACTATGCTTCCAAACACCTTGGAAAATCTTTTGACTCTCTTGCTTTGTAGGACTAAAAGTACTGATGCTGGACCCTTTTTCCTTAGCCTTTTCACCCTGTTATACCGTGTTTTCCCGAAAATAGGACCTACCCATAAAATAAGCCCTAGCAGGATTTCTAAGCATTTGAGCAATATAAACCCTACCCCGAAAATAAGACCTAGTGATGGCATGGCTACGCAGCGTATCTGCACAACCCATGCATTTTGTCACAGAACAGTAAAGAAGACGAGCAGCCCTTCTCATCTGCCCCATCGTGACAGCTACTATCCCAGAGGTGACCGGAAAGGTGAAGGCAGCCCCACCAACAAGGTCGGCTCCCCCTGTCAGGTCCCCACCATCCTGTGCGTGCTGTAAGCTGAGGCTTTTAGGGGAAAATAACACATCCCCTGAAAATAAGCCCTAGGGTGTCTTCTTGAGGAAAAATAAATATAAGACCCTGTCTTATTTTCGGGGAAACACCATATGTGTTGTTACTCCATAAATACACTTATTTTTGTCAGACAATATGTCCTGATTTTTGTTTACAAAACATTATTACCCAAACCGCAGGGCACCCTGCAAAGACTCAGGGGTCCTCTGAAGCTATTCCAGGATTTGCTCTGGGGTTGGACTGGCTCCAGTGGAACTTCTGTACTGGGCTGTTGGTGGGGAAGGTTCAGGCAGTTCACTTTGGCCTGGATTGTCATTTTAAATTGAGAAGACTTTTAAAGTTTGGGAGGTCTGAGTGTTCCATCCCCACCCCAACCCTGCTCTACCCTGTCTTCCCCTTTCACTTCCCTTCCCGAGAATCTGAGTTTTCCCAAGAAGTTCTGGACACTCTGAAGTTGCAGCCATTACTTTGACACAGGAGGGACAAAAGGCTGAGAGCCATTGCTTTAGAATTCTCAAAAAAGTCTTTCTGTCTTCCTTAATTCTTTGGCTGAATAGTTAATCCAGGTCAGAAAATGAATCTGTCATGATAATGCCTTTTTTCCATCCTTTTCATAATGAGGTTTTTCATGTCCATTATTTTATCTGATGTATCTATACATATATGATGCAGACAGGGAAAACATTTCATTATCTTCATGTGCACAGAAATACACTGAGCTCACACTTCCTTAAGTCATGTACATGTCAAGTCTCTAGTCATTTTCTCGTTAGCCTTGGAGAAGCCTCAGGCTGCTGGGTATGGAGTTAGGGCTCTTTCTCTGGTTCTTCCATCTTTCTTCCTAATTTTCTTTCTGACCTTAACATTGGTCAGTCTGAGGTATGCACTGTGCCCCACAATGTTCCAGGTTTTCTGGGGCTACAAAAAGAGTAAAGGGTAGGGCAAAGACCTTACCTTTGGTTCCCAATTATGCATACGGTTGAAGTAGTGAGTTCAGAGGAAATGCAGGAGGGCTCTGTGCTGTTATGTGTGGTGAACATATACCAGGAGAATGTATGGGCACACTCCAGCTGAAATACATTTTTAGCTGTGCAGTTGTTTTAAAGGCTTACGCTTTGGGGACGACAGTGTTTATATCAGCAAGCTTTGGAATAGCTCCTAGTTTGTGAAATTGATTGCAAAACATTTGACCTTCCTTATCAGCCCCCAAACTGCAGCAACCAGTATTAATGTTTAGGCCCTCAGGATATAACAAAGCGAAATGAATGGTTTCTTTTGGGTTTCTGTGTATTATATTCTCTGCCTTAGTTTCTAGTGTTGAAGTTGTTAGATCCTTGCCCAGTTGCTCTCTGCAATTGTTAAATATGGATCATCTGGATTCTGAGTGGAGGCTTTGCTCTAAGACATGTGATGAACTATCTATAAACAAGAAACCCACAGTGACACTGGTTTTATTTTCCTGTAACTGCTGGTATCAACTGTGTTTCCAAACTTTTGATAAAAAAAATATTTACATGTTTTGGCCTTTACTTTCCTTGACTCATGTCAGAGTTTGCATTCTTGTACTTTGGTGAAAGGAAGAATGTATAATATTATAGAGGTGAGCTGGACCCTAGAAAAAATATATATACAGCTTCAAAGAGTAGAAATTAAAAACCTTATGTGCAATAGATTTATTATAACCTTTAACTATGTTGGTAAGAAGTTTAGTGTTTAAATTAGACTATGAATTGTGGTAGAATGTGCTGCATTTTGTATCTCTGGTTTTTATTTTCTTGATGCACCATATGCATAGGTGATATTAAGGGATATCCTTACTGATATTATTAAATATTATGTTAAAGTGTCCCAAACTACTAAGCCAGCATTGAGTCCTAGGAGTTTACTTTTTGCTGTCTGCCAGGATTCATTCTGGTTTTATAGCTCAGGGATTTTTTTTCCTTTTATTTGGTTATATATATATAATGGAATTCTTATGTTTTTGTTTCAGACCCAATGTCTGTGGATCACGTTATAATGCCTACTGTTGCCCTGGATGGAAAACCTTACCTGGTGGAAATCAGTGTATTGTCCGTAAGTAAATAGACAACCTGTCATTCTGCATGTCTGTCTTTTGTTGTTTTGGTTATATGGTGATGCTTAGAATTTGGTCCTTTGTAACTCCACCATTAATATGTTTATAGCAGAGCCTTCTAGCTCTAGGATTTTCCTATTTTCTCTGAATCCAGGTTGGGAAATACATTAACTTGGTCAAATCACTGTCAGACTTAAATTCAGTGACTTCTTTAAAAATGTTTCTGAAATACAGAGATTGGAGTCACAGAGACACTTCGATCAAAGTTGTATGTTATTTACACCTGTTGCACCTGGTCGCACAGATTATGTAATCACTTTGATGGGAGTTTGAAAAAGAGGTTATCATTGCTGATTTTCTTATTGTAATTTCTAACTTGGTTGGCCACTCACAGGCTACCCTAACCCTGCACATTGAATTTGGGCGGTTAAGGCCAGAAGGACACTTAACACTTAGATGAAGGGGAGATGAAGGGGTAGAGCATCAGATGACAATCAGTGGGAAGACTAGGAAAGAACTTAAGTAATAACAGAGATTCCTGTATTGATTTCTGCTGCTATGGCAAATCTCCAGATTCTCCCAATGTCCCACAAATGTTGAGTGACAAATCACATGCCAGATAAGGTGCTATTTAATGGAGACATTAGAGTCAAATTAGTTATGGCATCTGCCTCCCATAAACTTTTATAGTCATCATACCTATGAAGTAATCTGTAGTGTTCAGAAAACTCCATTAGTATAATGGAGAAATTGAGAGCTGAAGGGACATTAAGGAATCACTCAGTCCACCTTTTCATTTGGCCAAGAGTGGTCTTTGGAGAGGAATAGAATATTTTATCCAATATTTACTTGGTGACCTAAAACAGTTTATCCCTTTCCCAATTCTTGATTTTTGACTAGAAAACATCTTATTCATTTGGCACACTGTGGTTTATTTTAAGACCAGAATTGAATTACCAAGAGGGGGATATAATGGTGTTTGGAGTTTTTCCAGTGAACTTGACAACAGAACCCTTTCCCAGTGTTCTATAGAGTTCTTTGAGAAATTCTCTCTTTAGATATTTAAATGAATGTTTATAGGGTCCTTTGACAGCTTATTTCATAGGATTTTCCAATTTCCATCCTTAGCAGTTTTTATACTTTAATGCACTTTCTATCCAGTGTATTATTTTAGCCTTGCACACCATGTTTGCCTCTTGCAAGGCTGTGCAGGTGTTTGAAGAAAGGATCATGCTTATGATTATAAAAAGTAGTGACCAAACCTTAGTCTGCTGATAAATATTAATATAAATCATTTGCCATTTAAACTTACTCTTTTGGCCACTAGCAGAGTATTTGGTACCGGATTGACATAAGTCTCTGGGTGGCATAAAAATATAAATATTTCTCTAAAGGATGAATGGCTTCCTGACTGTAGAGTCAGTACTATGACAGTAGATTTTAGCATTCTGCTTTCAGACTGTCAATGTAATTTGCAACAGGACAAAAATTCAGCATTAATCATGTACAGTAAAATTGGCTTCCAAGAATACTGCTGCTGTTTTTATATACACTAGTGATTATAAAAATAGAATTCTTATAAGCATCTGAATATATTTAGATGCAGGAATTTTATTGTTTTATTTTGCCTTCACAGCCTGTCCTGGCTTTTAATAGATTGAGTGCTGGGGAATAAGCAAAGAGAAATTGAGAACAACTGTTAAGGATAAGGACATTACTGATTTTTAAGCTAGTGTTTGTTTAGTCCAACTGACTTGTTTTGCGAATGAGTATACCTGAGGGTTAAGGTCATATAAGTCATGGGGGCAAAGTTATCAAGGGGCCGGAGAACCCAGGTCTCCTCATTGAGGACTGGGTCCCTGTGAGTAACCAAGCTCTGAATCCATGTGCTAACAGCCCTCTGCATTTATTCACAGCCATTTGCCGGCATTCCTGTGGGGATGGATTTTGTTCGAGGCCAAATATGTGCACTTGCCCGTCTGGTCAGATAGCTCCTTCCTGTGGCTCCAGATCCAGTGAGTCTAACATGTCATTATATATAATATTATTTTATGTGGTTACACCCTATTTTCTCCTAAATTTGCTTTTGGCTTTTCTCTTGCCTGCAATACATTTTTTTTTTTTTTTCACTAGAACATCTGCCTTCTCTGTTCTGCCCAAAATACTTGGAAAGACTTTCCACGATCTGGCCTCTCAATTTTCTTCTTCACTCTTTATAGGAAAATTACCTATGGGGCATAGTGACTATGAGTAATATAAAGATTATGGTCTTCTCTGTAAGTATCGCCTTATTTATCTTTGTATCTCCAATGTAAACACCATCGGAGGTGCTCAATGAAATGATTCTTTAATGAACATTTTTGGCTCAAGAAATTGAGGCATTCTTCCTTGTGGTACTGAAATATGAATCTCATTAAAAACTTATTTAAAACTCAAGACCCCTGCCTTTATAAAAAGAAAATGTAAGAGGCTGTTATGGCAGTTTCTAGGGTGATTTGTCATGAAGCACAAACATATTTTCCCTTTTAGAATTTTGCCACTTCTGTGATGCCAAATAAATATCCACAGTTCATTCTGCAGAGCCTTTGCTTGCTTGTTCTATTGTGTTTTTTTTTTTTCTTTAAGTGTAGGATTTGCAATAGTGCATTAGGAAAAATGGGGGGTTGGAATTGGTTGTGTCATTATTGGTTGTTTAAAAAGTTGAAGTTCATGTTTGTATGAACTTAGCCCTCAATACCTCAACCATCACCAAGGTGAAAAACTTTAGATTCCTTTTCCACTTCCCATTTCTGCTGAGAAAACGCACTCCGCTTACAGTGTAATCTATTTTCGACAAGTTTCTAAAGAAAAATGTTGTGAAATATGTTCATTCTCTTTTGTTTGTTGCAAAAGTAGAGACTTCAGTGTGTCGAAGTTTATTACCTGCTAAGAGGCCTAACATTGGAATGTGACTCTCATTAGTCAGTTAATAGGCTAGGACTTGTCATCCTTTGCAGCACCCTCTTGGTGCCCAGTCACTTCCCTTGGCATTCACAGGGGAGCATGGGGGACCCTGCCTGAGAGATTTGTAACATCTTTCTGGCCAGGGAGAATGTCAGATCTGCATGCAGGGCAAGCTGGAAGTGCTGGAGGGTTAGTGGACCTAGAAGCAACTTTTAAGCAGTAACAGATGGAGAGTTGTTGGCTAAGTGCCCCAGCTTTCTTGCCTCTAAGTTTGGATAGCTATGAGGTTTGTTCTGCACTGTCTCCTCAAGTTCCCTGGTGAGACGGAGCCCTCCTTGCCCACAGTGATAATGGACTTGATAGTGTACTTTATTAGCTTCCTTCTCTTCTCTGTCTCACTTTCCCACTATGCTACCAGTGTTTTCTAGAATTACTTCCAAAACAAACTACAGTATTTAAATTATTGTTTCAGAATCTGCTTCTGGTGGAACCCAACAAAAATAGCCTGGTGCTAAATACAGCCAGTTGTAGATTGGGTTAGAAACTCTCCTATGGGCTGGGAGTCTTGCTTATTGCACTGACTGTAACATATTTTACTTGATCACAGCTTGGTTTCAAATGTGCATCCTCCAAGTAACAGCATGGTCATTTTATCTAGCAAGGGCATCTGAGCTGGGAGAATAGAAAGAGGCAGAGAAGTCAGTTGGTGGCACTTTCGGGAACATGCTGGACATCCCCATCCTCTGTCAGGAAGACCTCCAAGCTGATGCTGAGCAGTGAGAGTCTCAAGGTTGGGCAAGAAATGTAGATATCAAATTGGGAATAGATCCCATCTCTCAGATTGGTCCTTAAACCAACCAAGAACACTGCATACTTCTGGGGGAAGAAAATACAGCCAGATGGCAAAACTGGGTATCCAACTAAAAAGGTCTTCCTTCAGTGATAGTGTGAGCTACTGATGATTTCTGTGACAAGTAAAAATTATGGGATGTGGAGATAGTATGTTAACAAGACCAGAGGGAAAAGCCATGGTCCTAGTGTACCTCAAGCTAGCCATGGGATAGCAGGAGTGTGGTGGTAAGGTGCTGAGGCTAGATTCAGACTAGAGATTGAAGTCTAAGATTCATAGATGGAGCTTTCTGAAGAAGCTTGGGCCACATCTGTGTTACCTGGACATTGGACAAAGTCCCCAAGTAGCTTGTGGATGAGAGTGGTATACGGAAGAGAATCTGTTTTCACTAGCACCTTTTGAGGTGTCTGAAACCTTTAAAATCATTGGCTTGAACTCCCTGAACTAATATTGTCTAAATAGTTTGCCAAGCTAAAAATGGTAGAATGTTTTAAATTAAAGGTAGCTAGGGATGATCAGAATTCATTTCTCATCCTTTGAAGTGATGTTCTAGGGAACAGCGCTGCAATTCTACAAAACTTCCTGGCCACGGTACTGTAGGCAGTAAATGTAGATGGGTCACTTTGCTAATTCTCTTGCTGATGCAAGGATAACCCTAACTCAGAGAAATGTTTGCAGTCACCACTTGTGGTTCTACGAAAAGGTGTCAGTTTTAGATCATTTCACCAATTTTTTCTATGAAAAATTTATACTTACTATGTGTTAGGGCCAAAGAAGTCTAGGCAAGTTGTGGGGCCTCTGAGGACTTTAGTTTTCTCATTTGAAAATGAAAAGAATGGAAGGAAGGTTTTTTTTTGTTTGTTTGTTTGTTTGTTTTTAATAAGACTTAAGTGTCTTTTGACCCTGAGAATAGAAAATTATCTCTTATGGCCTTTATATTTCCAGAAGGTCCAAACTACCAGCGATTCTTCTGAACACTAGGAAGAAGTGGCTTTCCTTGCACCTGGAAGAACTCTTGACACTGGCCATTGAGGCACCAGGGTAAAAAGAAAGATTAGCTAGACAGAGTCAAAGCAGTGGTTTTTCTAGACTTTACTTCCAGGTTTATTTAGGATTATTTTCTACTCATCTGTCTCTGAGGCTAGAGATAGATTCTTAGCAGGCCTAATTCTCATAAAGACCTATCATTGTTTACTGATCCATGAATTTACGTAAATTCATCTTAAACATGTGTGTACACACATACACAAATAAACATTAGCTTGCATTAATATTATAGGGATTAACAAACTTTACAAATGTATATATTGTCTCAGTTTTATGGGCTGCTATAACAAAATGCCATAGGCTGGGTAATTTATAAACAACAGAGATTTATTTCTTACAGTTCTAGAGGCTAGTTAAGTCCAAGATCAAGGGGCCAGCAGATTGCATGTCTGGTGAGGGCCCATTCCTCACATTTGGTGCCTTGTTTGTGTCCTCACATGGTAAGGGGCGAACAAGCTCCCTTGGACCTCTTTTGTAAAGGTGCTGATCCCATTCATGAGGACTCTGCCTACATGACTTGATCACCTCCCAAAAGGTTCCATCACTTAATATATCACATTGGGATTAGGTTTCAAAATGTGAATTTTGAGGGGACACAATCATTCAGACCATAGCATACATGTAATTATTTATAATACATGATTTTAAAAGTTGTTCCTTGTATTTTATATTTCAGACTTTGGAAATCAATTTCATGCTTATTCTTTTTACTCTTTATACTGTTTTAAAGGCTTTTAAAAATTAAATTTCATAGTTTGAGATAATTATAGATTCACAATCAGATGTCTTAGTTTGTTTCCTGCTGCTATAACAGAATACCACCGATTGAGCAATTTATAAACAGTGGAAGTTGATTTGGCTCACAGTTCTGGAGGCTGGGAAGTCCAGAAGCATAGTGCCAGGATGTTGCGGGGGTCATCCTGTGCCAGAAAGCATCACATGGCAAGTAGGCACATGAGACAGAAAATGCAGGCTGAACTGAGATAACTAACCCAACCCACTCCTGAGATGATGACATGAATGCATTTTCATGTGGGCAAAAGCCCTTGTGACCTAATCTCCTCTTAAAAGTCCCATCTCTTAAGACTATCACAATGACGGTTAAATTTTAATATCAGTTTTGGAGGGGACATTCAAACCATAGCAGTTATAAGAAATAACATGGAGAGATCCTGGGGAGTCTTTTCCCAGTTTTCCCCATGGTAACATCTTGCAAAACTATAGTACAATATCACAACCAGGATATAGCAACAGTGGATGCTGTCAAGATGCAGAACATGTCCATGACCAGAAGGATCCCTCATGTTATCCTTTTATAGTCATTTTCCTCCTGCCCCTATGCCTGCCTGACAACCACAGATCTATTCTTTGTTTCTATAATTTTATCATTTGAAGAATGTTATATAAATGGAATCACATAGTATGTGACCTTTTGGGATTGGGATTCTTCACTCATCATAATTCTCTGGAGAGTTATCTAGTTTGTTGAATGTATCAATAGTTTGTACCCTTTGACTGCTGAGTAGTAGTATATGCTGTGGATATACCACAGTTTGTTTAGCCATTCACTGTTTGTTGAAGGTCATTTGGGTTGTCTTCAGTTTTTTGTTGTTTGAGCAAAGCTGCATGAAAACTCATGTACAAGTTTTTGGTGTCAACACAAGTCTTCAAACTCTGGGATAAATGCCCAGGAATATAAGTTCTGGGTTATATGGTAGTTGCATGTTAGCTTTTTAAGACCTGTCAAAGTGTTTTTGAGTAGCTGTACCATTTTATATTCTCACCAGCGGTATGTGAATGATCTAGTTCCTATGCATCCTTACCAGCTTTTGATGTTGTCACTATTTTAATTTTAGCTATTCTGATAGCTATGTAGTGATATCTCATTGTGGTTTTCATTTGCGTTTCCCATTGGCTAATGATATTGAACAACTTTTTAAGTGCTTATTTGCCCCCTGTACGTCTTCTTCACTGAAATGACTCTGTGTCTTTTTTTTTAGATTTTAATTGGATTATTTATTTTACTATTGAGTTTTGAGTATTCTTTGTATATTCTAAATACTACCTGTTTATCAAATATGTGATTTGCAAACATTTTTTCCCACTATGTAGCTTGATTTTTTAAATTTTTTTAATGAGATCTTTTACAGAGCAAAGTTTTCAAGCTTGATGAAGTCCAATTTATCAAGTTTTCCTTTACTGGTATCATGCTTTTGATGTCAAGTCTAAGAATGTTTTGCCTACTCCTAGATCCTGAAGATCTTCTCTGACTTCATTCTAAAAGTATTATAGTTTTACATTTACATCTGTGATCCATGTTACAGCCATTTTTATGTGAGGTGTGAGTTTGAGGTCTAGGTTCAATTGTAGCTTATGGATGTCCCCTTACTCTAGCACCATTTGTTTCTGAAAAGGCTATCCTTCATCCATTGAATTACCTTCATGCCTTTGTCAAAAAGTTGGGCATATTTGTGCGAATCTGTTTCTGGATTCTCTATTTTATTCCACTGATCCATGTGTCTGTCCCTTTTTTAATACCATACAGTCTTGATTACTACAGCTATTAGATTGGATAGACTCATTCTTCCCAATTTATCCATGTTTTTCAAAATTTATTTTAGCTATTCTGGTTTTTTTTTTTGCCTTTCCACAAAAAATTTAGATTCATCTTGCCTATATCTACAAAACATTTTATGATTTTGATAGGAATTGTGTTAAACTTGTGTATCAATTTGGGGAGTATTGACATCTTGTGCAACTCCTTACACTTCGATAAAAAAATGTATCCCTTTCAATATACTTCAATTCAGTGAGAATTTGGGGCACTTGTACTCCTGACATGAATCTGAGCTCTAAGGATATAAGAAGGCCAGGAGAGCAATTCTAGACCAGTGTGTTAGCAAGTTTGCTGAAAGTGTAAGGACACTCAGAGGAAGGGAAGGTAGTACTGTAGCTATTTTGGAAGAAGTGACCCTTGAAAAGTTCTTCAGAGAAGTATGAGATTTAGATGGACAGAGAGGAGAGGAGTATATGGAATCTACTCAGACTCGTCCTTAGAAATGATTGAATTCTTTGCTTTCTAGTCTGCCTTCTATGGAAGCACCTTTTCCACTGCTATCATTTAACTTGTCCTCCTCTGGACCTCTTTCAGCTTGGCTAGGTTTTTTTTTTTTTTTTCTTTTTTCTTTTTTTAGATACCTTCATGAAGTTTTTCTTCTAAGCTGTGTGGCTGTGTGTCTTCAGGCATCACAAGACATTTATGCACTTAGGGGAAATATCATTGATGTTATCTCTCCAAGTAAAAATTGTTTTTGTCCCGCAATGATTGTTGTCTCAGGTGTACAGTCCAGAAGTTAGTCTAACTGTTTAATTTGTCTGTCTGTGTTTTTCCCGGTGCCTAAATTAAAATCACATGCTCGCCATACAGATGCTGATTTGCAAATTGCTCCCAGTGTTCTTCCTGCCAGTTGTGCCTGCCAAGATGATGGCAGGTCTCTAGAGTTATTCCAAACCTAATGCATCCTGAAGAAAATCTTTACCTGAGGTGTTTAGACCTAAGTGCAAGTCTGGCACCTCTCTTATTTCCATAGCATGCTCACATTGTTCTCTTTTGATTTGCCATTTTAAGAATTAATTTGTTCTGGGCTGTCATGTAAAGAAAGTGTCTTACTCTGATGCCTGGTAAATGGAAGGCATTTTGTAAGTAGTTGTTTGAAATGACTGAGTGAAATCTGAAATGAGCCGAATATTAATTTGGGATCCTATATGGATACAAGGAGATGGCAACATTTCCTGTTAGTTCTAGGATATGGGGCCTTACATGAAACCCATTGATGGGCTGTGTGCCCGTCTTAGGGCTGTGTCCTCACTGGGGATTTAGGGCTGCTAACTGTGTATGGCAGCATCAGCCTGCACACTGCCCACTTTGACCCTCCTCCCTTACTATTTTCAGTTTCTGATAAAATCTTAACACAGATTGAGTTTAGGAATATATTCCGACTTGGGGTATTTAGTGCATCCAGTAAAGCAAATATCATCTTTGTGGGTGTAAGAGGAACCCTATTTTCAGTTGGCTTTTTTAAGAGACATAGAACCTGGTCTCCTAATTATGAGACATCTGGAATTCTTGTTCGAATCAGAGTCGATTTCGAATATGTACCAATGGCAGGACTCAATCCAAAATAAAACCAACTTGTGTGTGTATTCTCTCTTAACTGTTCCTTCTTTGTGCAAGTGAAGCTGCCTGCTAGTTCCTTTATTTCCCCACAGAAGTCCTAAGCGATTGCTCTCACCTTTCAAGGAATGCTTCCCCCCCCCCCCAAAGATTTCAGATTCACAAAGAATACGAAGTGTCTCGTGGTAAACGTGTTTATGGCCAAGCAGGTGGTGGAGATCCCATTATCTGTGGCTGAGCTCACTCCCTCCGCACTTCTATGCACGGATTCATGGTGCATTGGTTTGTGTGGGCCACTGGATAAACCAGGCCTTCTTGCTTTACAAGTCTGACCAAGTGGTTTTATTTTTTAAAGGAGAACGAATATTTTTGCTGGAAAAGATTCACCTGAAAGACGGGGTAGAAAAAGTAAATAAAAGCATATCAGGGAGTTTTTTTTTTATTATTATATTGCATTTCAATGTAAACTTATTATTCTTCCCAGAAAGCAGAATTCATTCTGATTTTCAACTTGAAAAAATAATGTAAAGTCACTATTTAAACTACTGTAAGCTGTTTTTTTTTTTTTTAATCTCAGAGAAGCTAAATGGCTTTGTTGCTCATGTGGGAATGGAAATTAGCTCTTGGCCTGAACTGCTTTAATTGAAATCAGTTTGAGGGCTGAGTTCCTATGCTGCTTGACAGATGACACCATTTCCTGTGCTTTTCCCAATCCTCACTGTTTTTCTAAGATAGGATGAAGCTAAGTTTAACTTCAAATTTTAAAGTAACTATACACCTTTTCCTGACCTACTTAGAATGTTATCCAAAGTTTTCAACAAATCTGTTTTTTTTTTTTTTAATTGTATAGTTGTAGATTGCTTTTTAGTTAAGAAAGCATTTTGGCTGAGGTGTTTGAGTGGAATTATAGGAGCCTAAAATAACAGTTTGTTTTAATCAGTTCCCTGGGTTGCTTGATTTCAATGCTCCAACAAAGGAGTTATTTCTGCTTTTATACATGGGGAAACAAAGATAAAAATATTTTAAATAGCAACCTGCTGAGAGCTGTATAAGTGCTTAGGACACAATGAGCAACTTCTCAGTCTCAGTTTGGTCCTTGAGCATAGCTTTTGATGTTATTATCAGGGAGCATCAGTTTGGTGAGTAAAAATTAGTTTAGTATGGTTTTATACAGCACCTACATTTAGGCCCGGTGCTACTCTAGGCACTTAGGGTGATACTGTATAATTATTGTAATAATCATGACCCTTCCCACTGTTAAGTACTTTTTAGACAAATGGAGGTGGAGATAGGAAAAATAAACAACCTAAAACTAGATCAGATTATATAATGTATTCTTCAAATGAGAAGTCTAAAATATTCTGAGGGGAGAGAGGGCTCACATCTGCTTCGGGAGGGAGGAGAGAACAGAAATCAGAAAAGATTAAGAGAGAGAAGAGACATTTGAAGTGGGTGTTGGGCATAGGTAGGATTTCAGTATTTGGCGGGACCTGAGTATGTCACGTGTTGGGGGTTAAGAGTTAGGGGTAAAGAGACAAAGAGGCAGGTCACAGAGGGGATTCCATGAGCAGACTAGCACGAGCAGAAGTGCCTGGCATGTCACATGGCACATAGCAGGAGCTCAGAAGTATTTGTTGAGAGAATGAATGATTGATAAGTAGATCAGGGCACCAAGTCGTAGGACAGATTAAGAGTGTGCCAGGGAGCCCTGAAAGGCACCTGGGGCCATGCCGAGAAGGGCCTCGAACGCTGAGGGATGGAGGTGGTTATTAGTTCAGTAGAGATAGGGAGCCTTTGACGGTGTTTCTGTAAGTGTGTGGCATGTTTTTGAAAAGGCATATATCACCTTCAACTTGACCTAACTTTTCCCCCACCACTCACCTCCTGCTGTGCGGCCTGGTTCCTAACAGGGCAAGGCCGGCTGGGGATTGGGGACCGCAGTTCTAGAGGACGAAGGAGTAGCCTAGGATTTTGAAAGTGGTTTTAGCATACCTAAATCACTGACACAGAGACAGCCTAAACGTTAGAGAAATGAGAGTGCACGCCTGTGTTGTCGTTACCGCTCACAGCCGAGCTTGCAGGCGTCCTTTACTTCAGCTTCTTCCAGTGTGTCCTCGTCTCAGCTCTGAGGCTGTCAGGCCCTGGTCTTTCTGCCCTGGGCCCTGAAGTGCACACTTCCCTAGGTGAAAATGTGACGGGTGGATTTCAAACACAGAGGGTGTTATTTAGTTTAAATAAGCACCTCTTTCTGAGCCAAATCCAGCCATCCCCATTATCAGGCAGTCTTGTTATTAAATACCTTTCTAGGTATTTTCTTTTCTCTCTTTTCTGCCTCCAAAATTTCTTTTAAAAATATTCTGTGGAATCTGTAACTTTGTTTCCATGGCCACCTACTTGGGACTCTAAGTCTTTTCACAGGAAAATTATTGCCGTTTGTAATCTTGTCTCGCGTATGCCTACCCAAGGCACTACTTTCCTGTTAGTATAAATTGCACAAAGGATATTGAGTTGTAAGTTCTGTTAAGTTAGGGAAGTCATTTAGCACTATTAAAGTCGATGTCAAAGAAACCATTGGATTGTGAATTATTTTATACACACAAATTTGATACACATGTTAAGCATTGTCAAGTAGGCCATTTCTGCATAAATAAATGAATTCTGAGAAACCATTTTATTTTCCCTTCAGATAGCTCTAAATCAACTCCTGTGAACTGTTGCAGTCTGTGCACTCAAATTGTGAAAACGAATCATTCATCTTTTTTTCTTTCTTTTCCAGTACAACACTGCAACATTCGCTGTATGAATGGAGGTAGCTGCAGCGATGATCACTGCCTGTGCCAGAAGGGATACGTGGGGACTCACTGTGGCCAACGTAAGTAAACTGTAGTTTTAAGTATTCTGGACGTCAGCCTATATGTAGACAAATAGAATAAAGAGATACGTGCTGAGGGAGTTTCTTTAGTTACCTGGAACACACAGCATTGGTACACGTGTCCGATGACCCTTACAGGTGAACAGATCACTTACTCAACAGACGTAGCATCAAATTTCCAATTGGAACCATGGTAACGGGTTGTTGGATGCATTTTCCTCTAACTAACCTTCCATCGCCCTGCTTGCCTCACTCCTTTGATTTATAGTCATCACCCAAGGTGCAGAACTCTTGCTCATTCCAGCTGTGCACCTTCCATTCACTTGCTGAACATCTCCACTTGGATTTTCAGGAAGCATCTCAAAGGATTTCAAAACTCAACCTCATCTTTCTCCCCACACATGTCCTTTCTCTTGATTAATGATATCTCCATCTTGCTCATTTCCCGGTCTAGATTCTGCTACTGTACTTATCTATACTTACCCCATGGTGTTCAGTCTGTTGGTTCACTCATACACATCGTTTATTTTATCTGCTGTCTACCAGTCCCTGTGCTTTGTAGAAGATGAAAATTTCTTTTAAAAAGTTTGCTTTTCATTACTCCAAGATGAATATATACACACCCTACAGAAAATTTGGAAAAGTTCAAAATTATAAAAAAATAAAATTTTTCATAATCCCATCATTCTACATACTACCTTGTAGACTTTGAATGCATATTTGATACATGAGATCTTATTGTATATATACTTTTTCAATTGCTATTTTATTAGAAGTATATTCATGTTACTAAACATTTTAAAATATATTTTAATAGTCACCTAATACTCCATTATACAGACATTTTACTATTTATTTAATGAATCCGTAATGGTGAACATTATTCATGTTGTGTCCAATTTTTGCCATTGTGTATATATATATTTGCTGTGATGAATAATGCTATTATAAATAAACCAAAATTTATATAATGGCCTAGTGACCATGCACACACTGCAGTGTGATAAGAATATCGGTTGAGTTTTGTGTAGCCCAGCGTGGAGAGAGGAGGGGCAGGACAGCCTCCCTAGTGTGGGTAATCCTTCAGCTGAGTCTTGAGAGATGGGTAGGAGTTCACCTGTCAGGTCATGGGCGATGTCTCCTTCATACACATGACACAGCATGGCCAAACACCAGCCCAGGATGTAGCATGGGGTGTGAGACATAGCAGGTGCTTTGGTGTTGCTAGAGCTTAAGTGCTGAGAGCAGTGATGAGAAGGGAAATAAGGTCAGATAGGAAGTCATGGGCCAGGTTTCAATGCCTTTATACATACCATGCTTTCTTACAAAGTAGATCCAGGGAAGGGGAGTGAGATAACAATAAACAATAACAACAACAACAACAACCTACACGTATTAAGTTGCTTACTCATTACATGTATTAACTCATTTCATATGACAATATCCTTTTATGTTAGAGGTCATAAATATTACCTTCTGATGGATGAGGTGCAGGGTCTTCAGGAATTTCTCTAAGGATATACAGATGGTAATTGGCAGAGTTGGGATTGGAACCCAAGCAGCCTGACTCGACAGCCCATGCGTTTTCTGCTGCGAAACACTGACCTGGTACCCTTCAGTAACAAAGGTTGACAAGGAGAAAGATCACTGTGGCCACGGTGTGCAGGAGGAAGAACCAGGAAGCAGGAGGATCGGTCCTAACTAAGGCTGTGGCATAGAGATGGCGAGGTGGGGATGGAGTCAGAGGTATTTCAGGAAAAGAATCAGGAGGTGCTCCCTTTGGTGCTCCCAGAGGGAGTTTAGCTCAAAGCCCAGCACACAGCAGGTGCTCAATTAACACTTGCAGAATTAGAAAACTTCTCCTAAACTTCATCTTCCTCTTCTGCAAGATTAGGAGGGGCGGTGGTTGGTGTAGACAAGCTCATCATTTCTTTTCTGCTTAGAATCTCTTTATTCTCTCCTGATAATAAATAAAGAGGCAAAAACAGAACAATTACTGTATGTAAACCTCTCTGATGTTGTGGTGAGAAATGAACTCCTGCCATGATTTTTGGCTATAAGGGGTTGTGTCAGTTCAGGTCTTCCGGTGCCAAGTGGATATAAAGACTAAATTAGATGTATGAGAGATGTAATAGGGGAAAGGCTTGTGAAAAATAAAGGGTAGAGGAAGCAGGAGTGGGAGGGGTCAGCCTTCAGGCTACAGTGCCTGTCGGACCTCTGTGCGAGGAGGGAGGGGAGGAAGGACTGTTGTGTAGAGGAGCCTCAAGACTGCAGTGCACCTCTGGGAAAGTCTTACCCAGGCCGATAGAGAGCCCAGAAAGTGCCCATTGGAAGAGCTCCATGACGGGCGGAAATGCCAGGCCGTAGTGTCCTGCTGTGTGCAGTCATGGGCCAAGAGTGTGCCCTTGGCACTAGATCTAAAGGGGCCAGCGCTGGAGGCTACCTGCTAGCTAGACTCCTTGCGGCAGGTTCTCTTGAAGGGAAGCCTGAGTGGCTCAGCTTCATGACTGTTACAGGGGTAGAAGCAAAATGCATGGGAAACATGTAAGGAGCATTGGGTTTACATGGAAGGATTGGGGCAGCCTCATGGAGGAGTGAGGCTTGAACTGGGCTTTGAAGAGTGGGTGGTTCTAGGCCGGGCGCGGTGGCTCACGCCTGTAATCCTGGCCCTCTGGGAGGCCAAGGCGGGTGGATTGCTCAAGGTCAGGAGTTCAAAACCAGGCTGAGCAAGAGTGAGACCCCTGTCTCTACTATATATAAATAGAAAGAAATTAATTGGCCAACTAACATATATATAGAAAAAATTAGCCGGGCATGGTGGCGCATGCCTGTAGTCCCAGCTACTTGGGGGAGGCTGAGGCAGCAGGATTGCTCGAGCCCAGGAGTTTGAGGTTGCTGTGAGCTAGGCTGATGCCACGGCACTCAACTCTAGCCTGGGCTACAAAGCGAGACTCTGTCTCAAAAAAAAAAAAAAAAGAGTGGGTGGTTCTGGCAGATTTGGCAGGGAAAAGCCTACTGCCCATGACAAAGATGCCTGGAAAGAGCCATGCATGCCTGAGTTACAGGAAAGTGTACAGAGAGGAGTTGTTCAGAGCATGGGCTTTCAATTCTTATTTCGATGCCTTTTTTTAACAGTAAAATGTCTCTTCCTCACGGATCTCTAGACTTACTGCACCAATAGTTTTGATGGATTCTGATATCACACTCAATTGGGTCTTCATTACGGTGCTTAAATTACTGACTGCCAGTGTTAGTATTTTGTTGTTTGCAGTTAATTGTGTGATTTAACATGCTACTCTTCTGAAAGGGTAACATCAGAGGGGCCGATGTTTACTCTCAGGGGAGCCCTGTCTGATGTCACTATGTTTACGTAGATCCTAAGCAAAAGAGTCAGTTTGCTAAAATGCAGTTCCCATCCAGTGCAGTCCCTTAGAAACCATCATTTCAGCTGCAGAACTGAAAGCGTTGCTCAGATGCTTCAGGGAATGAGACCAGCAGCATGAACACAGGTGCAAACACACCTTCTCCAGGATTCCCTAAGAGTTGATTGAGGAATATCTGAAGATCTGTAAGTTTCAAGTGACTGTCCAAAAAAAAAAACAAAAAAAACCAGGGTGATTATTTAGATATTTTCTTGTTTTCCTTTCAGGGGATTGTAAGTGTTACTTCATTAGCATCTACCTTCAGGTAAAGCTTCTCAGCGTTCTCCTTATTTTCCAGCTGTCTGTGAAAGTGGCTGTCTCAACGGAGGGAGATGCGTGGCCCCGAATCGATGTGCGTGCACTTATGGCTTTACTGGACCCCAGTGTGAAAGAGGTAATGGCTTCTAAAAATAATTTGCTTAAAGACATTCTGGTGCCTAGAGCTACTATTGGTTTGCACAGTCACTGGGTCTGTGTGGCTACTTCATGGATTTTGCTGAGCTTTGAGGGTGTTTCTGAATTTTCATTGGAAAGGCTCCTGGCATGACAAGACAGTGACCCTGGATCTATGAATGTTTCTCAGCAATTCTTGCCAGTAAAACATGGTACTCAGTAGGGATCATATTCATGAGTGCCAGTTGGCATCAGGATATAAAGAGGAGAATTTTCTGTAAGGGCAGGGATTCAGCTTCTTATTATCCTAGGTAAACTGGAGAGGCGGTCCCAAATAAAACATGTGCATGGAAAGAGAAAAGATTAGTAGGAAAAACATACATATAGATCTATTGGACCTCTTGGGGAGCTGTAGAGGCATGTAAGTTCAGTGTTCAAAATTTGCCATAGAAATATTGAGTATCTGCTGAGAAACTGCTTTCACGTATGAGGTTTATTCAGTACGCACTGAGCCCACCGAAGTGCATAGAATCGTCGTCATTTTTTCATATGACAAGACCAAAGCTCAGAGAGGTCCAGGGATGTCCCCAAGTCTACACACATAATAAAAAAACTTTAATATGAATGTGGTTTTTCTGTTTTCAAGTCTAATGCTTACTGTTGCTCCTGAGTAAAAGAAACATTCTACCTAATTTGCCTACCTGTAAATGTAAACATGATATAGAGATATACGTGGAGGGTTTTTTTCCCTGAACTTTGGTTTTATTAATCATCTTGTCTCCATGTTCATAAAATGTTCTCCTCATTCCTAGTTTTATAGTGAAACTTTAGAAGGTTCATGTCATACAAAACTGAAAAATTAAAAAATACTCATGAACTTATTAAACTGAAATCTTCACTTTTATCCAAAGTTGTGTGAAGACCTTTTTATTCTAAGATGGAAATTAAAGACTTAGATGTTGAATACATGTCATTTAAACCATATAGCAAAGAAAACCAAAGAACAGAGAGTGGTATGTGAGGAATTGTTTATTTTGCTTCTATTTTTAGAAGTTTTTAGAAGTCTACCTAAATTCAGTTATTTGCTAATAAAGCAGCAATACATATTTTAGCAACTCTAGGTCAATTACTGTTATTATGGAATAAATTATATTGTATCTGTATTAATAAGACTACTTCATGGTATTGACATGTGGTGCATAATGAACTCTTGGCCTTTGCAATGCATTTTGACATCCTTTTAGAGTCCGTCCTTAAACTGTTTCTCTTTGCAACTTGCACAGAGGTATTTTTATTGACTAATATATTTACAGTGATATCCAGAGTAATAAAAACAACTGTTTCTATTAGGTAGTGTCATTCCATGGCCTTATTATTTAATCAGTGAAGATGTTGTAGGAGATTAAAATTGTTAACATGTGGCCGGGCGCGGTGGCTTACGCCTGTAATCCTACCACTCTGGGAGGCCGAGGCGGGCGGATTGCTCAAGGTCAGGAGTTCGAAACCAGCCTGAGCAAGAGCGAGACCCTGTCTCTACTATAAATAGAAAGAAATTAATTGGCCAACTAATATATATAGAAAAACTTAGCTGGGCATGGTGGCGCATGCCTATAGTCCCAGCTACTCGGGAGGCTGCGGTAGGAGGATTGCTTAAGCCCAGGAGTTTGAGGTTGCTGTGAGCTAGGCTGATGCCACGGCACTCACTCTAGCCTGGGCAACAAAGCGAGACTCTGTCTCAAAAAAAAAAACAAAAAACAAAAACAAACATGTTAACTTGAAGAGTGCTGTGTGAAAATAATGTCTCAGACAATAATGCTGGGTTTAATTTGTTTTGGAAAAATCACTAATAACATAAAGTTACATGGCATCTTACACTTAACAAAGTGTTTCATAATTTGCTGCAAAGAATATTGATGTCCATAGTACAGGTATTGATTATAACACAGTCTAAAATAAAGAGGACATGATATTAAACCATCCCAAAGTTATTTCTACAAAAATTTGTTCTATGCTTAGGATTAAGAAATGGCCGGAATGGGTTAAGTTACTAAACCACTAATCAAAACTGTCATATTGCTTAGGGGTTTCTCCAGGTTTTGGGGTATCTTTAGCTGTTTCCCTCTGGGGAGAAAAGCTAACCTGAAATCTGCCCTAAGGTGTAAATATATGTGGGCCCCTTAAGAATCTTCACAGTGGTGATTTTCAAAATTGAATTCATTCCCAAAATGGCAGATTTTCAGGCAATTGTGGTGGCGGAGACTGGGGAGCAGAAGGCGAGCTTGACTCGTCACCCATGGGTACAGTCCCAGACCTTCAACGGAAGCAGGGAAACATGAGTGTCATTTTCCTCCCCACGTGGGAGAGGGGACTCCAGAATTGTAATTTCATTTATAGAGTCTTCCCGGTCTTTTGCTCTTCTGAAAGTCATCTCCTTACCTCTTTGAAGAATTAGAGGCACTATATATATTCTCTTCCTCAGATGTGTGTTTGTGATTTCAAGAGTGATGAATAAAAGCGTGGGACCGAGTCAGGACAAATCCATCCTGAAGTGTAGGGAAGTATTTATTCAGTGTGACTTCTTCTGATGGTGGGTTAGTATACTTATTGTTTATTACTGGATAACTACATAGGCTAGTTGCTTTCTGTTTTTATTGGGATGCAGCATTTTATTTTTAAAAATAAACTTCCAGGAAGTCTTTAATAATATTCTTTTCCCTTCCAGGAGGCTGAGCCCTCAATGCTCCCTCTACGTTTTCCCTTGCACTCTCTCACATCTTTTTTTTTTTAACATGCACTTACAACATCATCTCAAAACAGCATGTTTCTGTCTCCCTCACTAGATTATAAGCTCTTCAGGAGCAGCTGCAGTTTCTTCATCATCTTAATTCCAACACCAAGCTTAATGCCTAATGTGTAGTACATGACTGGTTGAACTGGATTCATTCAATAGCATCAGAAAGTCTGGAGATAGTTGGATATGAACAAGTATACTATCTCCTGGAAATAATCGCTGTTTGCTTACAGTTCTGGACAGTTGTCCCTGGTTTCATGCTATGCAGAGCTGATCACAGTTTTAATGCCTAATCAAATTTGGCCCCATCTTTCAGAAATACGGTCTTTTAGGGCCACAAGACTGTCATTCTTTAGTTGGCAAAGATGCAAAAAGGAGGTGTGTTTTGATCAAAGCCAAATGGCAATAAAAGCAAAAACAAAAAAACTTCCTATCGTGATGTGCTACACATGGAAGGGAACATTTGGAGTGCCAGTTACAAGTACTTCTTAGGGTAAGGATTTTAGTCCCTGAGAGATCTTGGAACTTTTATGCATCAGTAAGTACTGCAGAAACCCAACATAAGTGTGAAATACCCCGTGGGGATGATACTGGTAGGATGCCAATTAGTGAATCTTAATAACCTATGAACATAGTGCTTTGGGTTTGTGATGGAGAGAAGCAATAGATCCATGCTTGAATTGTGAACCATAACAGTCATTCAACAAATGCAATCAGATTATGAATAAAATTTGTCTTACTTGCAGCTTTTAGCCATTAAAATATTAATAAATATGTTTTAAAATATTCTTGGTAAGACAGCATCATTGGGTAGGTAGAATGATGGTATATTTTACGTTGCCTGTCTCTGCACTGAGAGGATGAAAAGTAGAGACTTGTGGCTGGTTTGGCTGGTGATGTTTACTCTTTAAAAACTGAATATGAATTCATTTAGATAAATTCTCTAGTTAGTCACAGTCTTGTCACTCCCTGTTGTCACAGCTTGTTCACTTCATTCGTTTAGCTTGCATCTTGGCCCTTGTGGGTGCTGAAGTTTACCACTTCCCACTATATTCTCTATCAAAGATTGTCTCTCTTTGTGTTTTCGTTTATATCTCAAGTTCCTTTCCTTTTTATTCATATTTTTTTTTGTAAATTGACATTTATGGTTTTCTTGTTGTGCCCCCCTTCCCCGCCCCCCCACCTTCTCTCTGCTTGAGCAACCAGTGGAACTTATCATTGCCTTAGCTCAGTGGTACAGTATGTTAGCATTTGTTATCAGAATAGTGATATGAGGTCAGTGCCTGTTTTGGCAATGACAACACAAGCTAGTTGTGTGTTGCTATGGTTACTGCCAACAAAAAACTGTGTGGAATCACACTTTCTCTTGCCATCTTGCCTCAGAGTACAGACCTTTTAAAATCTTGTTAAATGCTCTTGTATTAAACACAGTGAATCATGTGAGTGCATGAGATTCCCCAAGGTCATGAAAAAAAGAAGTATGATGGGAGTTGACCTGAATTTCTAGATGGGGGTGGTGGTGTGATGATGAGTAGCCTTGTGGAAGAAGAGAAGCAAAGGGAAGACACTGAGAAAACATGATGAGAAGCAAGAGAACCAGGAGAAAACAGAACCAGAGAAACTAAAGGCAAGAAGGAGTTCAAGAAATAGCTTGGCAATTGTTAGTCTCATCCAAGGGTCAAGAGAGAATGAGAGTCATAAAGAGGCCATTAGACATAGTAACAGCTGACATGTGCTGAGTACTTGCAGTGTGCCAGGTGGTGTGGCCTACAATACTTCATTGTTAATTCTAGTCACTATAGGAGATAATCAAATATTTTACCTGTTTGAGATTAAAAAAAAAAAAGACTTAGATTAAAAAAAAAAGTAAAACTAATTTTCTCACATGGTTCCTAAAGCATGTGGAATTGGTTTAATGTTTTAATGTCAAGGTTTGTGTGAGCCAGAGGATGAAGCCTTTTGGAAGCACAAATGCTAATAACGCTAATAACAAGAAGTTTTCTGTCATTACTCCATATGGAGGTCTTCATCCTGTACTGTCAGAATATGAGCGTGCACACGGATTCTTCTAAATCCTGATTCATTTGTTCTGTGTTAAATTCCTACCCAAGTCTAAACTGTGAAGACAATATTTGGATTTTAATCAATTTATGGAAGTCTGTTTGCTGTTATGCTTTGCTATTTGTAGACAAAGTATAGGGGAAAGCATT